AGGAGGGCAGAAAAAAAGACAATTAGTTACTGGAAGATCACCATCAGCTTAGAAAAGTTCAGAATTTTCAGAGTTTTGAGATTATTGATGTTCAGCACATCAAAACCAAAGCGATGAAACTTGAAGTCGAAAATTTACCTGGATACTGCCTTGTGAGAACAGTGCGTGGGGCCAGAGCTATCATCGATTCTCATGTCACCAAATAATATGCTGTGGTGCTGTTTGGGCTCTGGATAGCCGCGTTTTCGCACAAAATGATTTTGCAGAACTTTTTAGGATACTATTTTGAAGAAGTTCATCATGTTTATCAGACGTCTAATAAGTGATCGACTCCGTTTTTGGGCAGTCAAGGAATTGCATAACTTACGCTGCCAGTACGCAAAGCAATGCTCCTACTAGCATAGCAGTGTAGCCGGCAGTAGCTAGGATCGAAGCAGCAACAATGGATACAGCTCCACGTCGTGATTGTAGAGCATCATGACGATGTTGACTCATGTAGAATGTCCAACTGAAAAAGGCAGGAGAATGAATTTTATTGAGCTGATGAGCTTCCATCCATTTTCACCTTATAGCTATCATGGTTAGCCCAAGAAATGAAAGCCCGACCAGTGTAAGCGGGATCAAGAATGTGTAGCCTAACATATCGCTGACATGATGCGTATCACTCTGAAGATAATTATATTATGACTGTCATAAAAAAAACATCTCTCCTATCTGCTCATATGTAAATCACCTTTTCCACAAAAATACCAACAAGATTTGTTTGCAGTTCAATCGTCTTGTTTTCAACCAATGTGAATGTCTATAATCAAGAATTGACTCTCTCTCTCAGAAGAAAAAATATCAGCACCTGTTCAATTGTTTTTTCATATTCTTTTATATCGATTAGTGATTGATTCATTGCTTCCATAGACTTATTTAGACTTTCGTCTATCTAAATATAGAGATCTCACAACATTTTCAATTACTGACTGTAGGTGATACGCACCTTCTCGACCAGAACTTTAGAAGTTTCGTACACGTCAGTAGCCCATCTGCTAATTACCTTTGAAGATGTTAACATGGAGGGCTAAAGCAGAATTATTTCAAATATAAAGTTTTGGAAGTTGGAAGTCTACTCACGAGGTTTTTGACAAGAGTGGCGAAAGCAGGCGCTTTATAGGTAAGTGATTTAAAATTATCGTTAATTTTCTCGAGATCCTGCTGAATATCCGTGGCGAGAACTTTTAACTATCAATTGATATTTCAAGATAGCAATATTTAAC